GGCCCCACCTGACATATACAGTCATACACAAACACAGTCACACACTCCCTCCCTCATGCTCACACATGCACATACAACCAAAGACTTACAAAAATGCACGCCGGACACCCACTCATGCTCCCCATACACACCCTATTCACTCTGGTCCCGGTACTGCTGCACATTGGGTACAACCATTACCGGTTACCAGAGTTTGACCCTTTCTGCTGGGGTGCTTATGAGCAGGCTCCCCCGCCCAACGCTGAGCACAGCAACCTACCACCCCAGACCCCAACCAGACGGCCAGATCTCCCTCCTAGCCTCCAGCCCCAGGAAGCCTAGCAACAACAGAGGTGGCTAAGACCCCTAGTCTCCCTCCGCCTGCTCCATTATAGTGTTGTGTGATCATGAGGTGTATTCCATGGCTGTGGTGAGTGGGCAGTGTGGGCATCATCCGGCCTATGCCAGCTGATGCCACCGCACCACCCCACTTACACCCTCAGCCATCAGTGTCTAAGTGTGGTTTAAAATTGGAAGTGGGCACCGGCACCCGGGAGGAGGCTGAAATATCCCCCTGCCAAATGCCGTTTGGCAGGGGGGAAGTATGTTCCAACATTGAATATTTTAACAAGTTACTGTGCTGTTAAATTAAAGCAATAAAGACTCAGATTATTTACATTCAACATAACTTTAAGATTCACCGCAGAACAAAATTACGATGCGTTTGACCGCGACTAAAGAACGGATAAACATCGTAAAAAAACGAGAAGTAAATGAAAAGCATAAAAGTCAAAGGAGGCTCTAAATCTGTAAAACGTTTATAAAATACTAAAATGAATTTAATTAGAAATAATTTTTTATTCTGACGGTTTCTTTTTTCCTGCATCAAGACAGAATTTATGTTCCAACATTAAATGCTGTGTTGATGCAGGTTTTGCTTTACCGTCTCGGGTCGCCCAAAGCAAAAGGCTCTGGTAACGGAACTCAGTAATGAGACGGGGTTCGATTCCCTGCAGGGCCCTGCTGCTTATGCCGACTGAGACTAACGCTGTTTCACTACACTTTACCATCTACATAAAGATAAACTAGGTTCAGTTATTCAGTTTAAGGAATTTTGTCATAAATCTTCATAAAAATCTAAATTCCTCTAAACAGTGAAGAGCTGTTTGTCATACGTCACTAAAAAGATGTCTTACAGGGCAGCTTATGCCGCTAGTACGTCGTGTTTAGCTGTATTTTAATCAACTTCATATTCAATAATTACAGAAAATTGTGTTTACAGTTGCAGCAAAAAGTCTGAACCCTATGTCGGAGTCCTACACACATTGTAACTAACGGTTTGACCTAAAATAATAACCTAAATCTATCTGGAACCGCTACCGGTCTTTCTGCACTCCAGACGAGTCCCGTTAGCATGACTGCAGCAACACAGCTAACTGTGTTAGCAAGGGGAAAAGTAATTTGGAAAGCCACGACACACTCACACAGATAAGATCTAAAAGAAGAGCCACATATTTCAACAACAGATCCTCCAGAGACCGGCAGAACCTCAGAACCATCCTGGATTACTACAAACACAAGCTAGCGAGCTACTGCAGCATCCCAGTCAGGAGGAATTATTCTGCTGATCTATCGATTAAGTTTGTTCTGGAGTTATTACAATATAAACACGCAGCGGTTCAACTGGCAGCACATTGTTTTATCTATAGATTAGTGAATTATATTGGGACGGTATGATGGGGCTAATGGTCAGCTAACAACTCGTCAGCTGAGGGCTACAAGCTTAGAAATGAAATATTCATCTAAAGTAAATAAACTGAACTGATTTTGGTTCTGAAGATGTTCAGCATTCTCCCTGGAGTCCAGATCAGGCTCACGGGTCTTCTCGCCGTATCCCAGATCTGACCGATCTTGTCATGTTCAAGAAGCCAATGTGAAATGATTTGAGCTTTATGACATCCTGCTGTCATGGTCTGCGTCTGCGTCTTCCCTCATGTGTCTCCTGATGCTTCTCCATCCCTCTCTAGATTCTACGGACGCTTCAAACGATGGCTTGGGAGCAGTACTGTTGCAAAAGAATGAAATAAGTGGCAGCCGGTGGCATATGCATCCAGATCTGACTGAGAAACGCTACGCTCAAATAGAAAAAGCAACTTTAGGCTTGGTCTTTGGATGCAGGAAGTTCCATGGCTAGATGTTTGGTTTACCAACATTCATAGCAGAAACGGATCACAAACCTCTCATCACAAAGAGGAAGTCGAATCTCAATGACATGTCACCAAGAATACAATGTATGATAGTGATGCTGCAGCATTTGAACTGATATACATGCTAGGCAAGTTTGCCAGGCATGCCAGGCAAATTTATTGTATTGGCTGATGCATTGTCTCATGCACCTGCACCAGGTGGTGACAGCAGTATCAGTATGGTGGTGGAGGAAGTCGAAACCAAGCCCCCACAATTTGGTTCTGAAAGTGAGGCCAATGCGGAAGTGAAATAAATTGCAGTTCCACCCTCATCCACTAGTGGCTGGTGTCAGAAAATAGCAAATCCTCATTGACTCCCATGTTAAAAATACCATTTCACAGCAGAAATGAACATGTGTACAGCTTGGTTTTTGGTTTAAATTATCTAGTTTACACTCATGACAACTCTGAGGGGGTGAATTTTTTTCACTCTTCTGTTTAAGTGTATTAAAAGCCTAAAATTCTGTACACTGTAAATCCTCTAATACAGGCCCGGGCCTGTATTTGACTCAAGCTCATCAAGCTCCAGGCCTTTATTGGAAGGAGGACCAGAATTAGAGGCAGGCCTCAATTTCTATTTGAGCAAAATGAACTAATGGTTCGCAGGAGTATTTGACAATTAATATTGCGCCCACATTTTCAAAGTTAAACACATTTCTTTTAACAACGGTAGTTTCTGCTTCAGCCCTCTCCCCCTCCCCCTGCACAGCGGCCGCAAACTCACTGATGCGCCTGCAGCCTCTCAGAGTTCCTGCTGCTCTAAACATTAAAATAATTATTTCATTTTCTGTTCCTCACTTCTGATTACCTTCAATGGTGTCTGTTTGTTGCAACCACCAGGTACAAAAACTAACTTGTTTTTATTTGACTATTTTTCTGTCCTGCCTGTTTATTATCTTCCTGCATCTCCTCTCAATCCTAAAGAGAAACTGCTACCTGCCTTCATATATATTCACCTTATGAGTTACCTTTGAACTGCAGTTCTAAAAGATCTACCGACCACAAAAACAGCGGAGTGCGTGCTGCTCGCCGGCCGCACCGGTGCGTCACTGGAGGACAAGGTGATGCGCCCCGATCCACAGCAGCGAAAAGCATCAGGCTCAAATAAAAGACAGAAAACATAAAAGGAAATGAGCCGACATGAACAATCGCGTGTTAAATTAGTTTTTGAGGTGGCGACACCTGATTTGATAATGTTACTGTGGCCGTGCTCAGGACGCAGATGTTTGGAGCGCGTCAAAAATCAGAGCTTTGCATGCGCAAGCTGGTTAAGGTTAGGATGGGGGTGAGGAGAATGTTAAATTGCAAGAGGGTAAAGGTCACAATTTGGTTAAATGACCGTTTTACAGCGGGTGTCAGTACCGACGCTCTGGCACAGCGCGTTGCCTCACGACGCACAGGAGCTCCTCACCTTCTGACAGCAGGCTGCTGTCTTTTCCAAGGACTGCATCTTGCCGGTCATTATCATGTGACAGCGACTAGTCAATGACAGGCATAACAAGTCACTATAGAGCGGTGAAGTCGACTAGTGACTAGTTCATATTGCTCCCCAGAGTGTTCTGCAGCATAATCAGCACGTTCTCTTTGAACTTGATATCAAATTTTCGCCTCCTCTTCGTCTCCGCACGGTTAAAGTTACCCTCGCGGTCTGTCACTGGCAAATCAAAAGTGAGACGGATGTCACAACCGCCCCCCCTGTGGTACTTGCTTGTTACCACATTCCACCCGGCCACAATAAAAAAACCGGCCATTATTCACCTCCGCCGACTCCGACACCGGCCAAAATGTGATACCCGGCCGTCAATTGAATACAGGCCAATATTAGAGGATTTACAGTAATTAATGAGCATCAGACCCACGTGACCGCAGAGCTAGCTCCGGGGAAAGGCCTCAGTCTGAGCCTCAGCCTCGCCTGAAAACTGTTCCGTCAGTTTCAGTCTCTCAACTTAGACCATTAGTTGTAGCGTTTGTGTATTCTTTTTTGGATATTTTTTGTGCAATTGTTGGACAAAATGACTTGCTGTGGTATTAATTGCAATAATAGAGCGTCCAAGGAGTCTCCACTTAATTTTTTTCGGTAAGTAAAATTATATTTATGTATTTTAGGTCACTGTCGAGCTGAGCTTAGATTTTAACATGTACTGTTTAACCATGAAATTTAAATGTAATAGGGTAAAACGCAGTGCATTTAACATAATGCTGCACTTTAGAAAATGGGTTGAAATATAACATGTTGGTGGAGCTGGGTTCCCACTATCGGCTTGTGGAGCTCTCGGGAGACCTCTGTTTTCCACCCGCTTCTCCCCTCCCCACAGCTCGGCGCATCTCTGTCTGATCGCGGCTCCTGTCTGCTGCGCGGGCTGCCGGCTTGTGGAGCTCTGGGATGGAAACCTTTCCACCCAGTTCTCCCCAGCAGCAGCTCTGCGCATCTCAGATCGCAGCGGCACTTGTCTGCTGTGCGGCTGCCGGCTTGTGGAGGTCTCGGAGACCTCTGTGTTCCACCCGGTTTTACCCAGCGGTCAGCTCGGCGTAGCTCTGACTCAGAAGCTCTGGTGTTCTGCACAGTTAACTCCGGTTGTAGCTAGGTTGCTACCTCCGTTAGCTTAGCTCCCACCTCCGCGTTAGCTTTGGGTTAGCTTCAGGTTAGCTTGTTGTAGCTAGTTCGACTGGGTGTCGTCAGTTGATCCCAGCTTAGGGTGACCAGATTTAAAAAACTGAAAACTGGGACACCAAAGTTTTACACAAAATTAAAGACTGACAAATCCTTGCTGGTGACTTATAACTGCTTTTTATTGTACAAAATGCAACAACATTTGAACATCCTATTAAAAATAAGGACATTCTTTTTTTTAGTGCAATGTTTTGTTATTTTCTTTTCCAAAATAATACTGTATTTGTGAAACACATTGGGCAATATTAAATGTAGCCCTTTTGTGAAAAGATAAACAAAGAATTTAACTGACCTTAATAACAGCTTTTGATTGTAGAATGTGCAAGAACAGAAACGTTTGATCTATATTCAAAATAAGGACAGTTTTTCTAATAGTTTTAGTGCAATCGTTTTCCAAAACAATACAGTATTTTTTTAAACACATTTGTTTGGGCAATATTAAATGTAGCCCTTTTGTGAACAAAAAAAGTATTTCACTGACTTCAAGTTTTTTAGAAACAAAAATATTGCACTAAATGAACAGCCCTATTGTTCCCTTTAATGTCTCAGTAACTCTCTAAGAGTATTTCATGTTTGAGTGAATCTTTTAAAGCAGACTGTGGTTGTCAACAAGTCTGGCATGAAACTCAGAGCAGTCATCAAAGTTCACCCGAGTAATGAGCAGTGCCTTCAGAGTGTCCAGTCCCAAACGATTTCTCTCACTGGTCCAAGTGTTGTTCATGAGAGAAAAAATGCGTTCCACAGAGGCGTTTGTGCCAGGTAGGCACATGGCAAACTGGCAGATGACGGCTACATTTTTAAATGGGACATGCTGATGCTTAAAATGTATTAAGATTTCAGCCCAGCGCTCATCTGCTGGTTTAATGTCTCTGTCCCACTGTCCAGTCTTGTCAGATGTGTAAGTTTTGACAGAAGTAACTTCGTCAAAGAGCTCCGTTTCATTGATGTGAATGTTTGGCAGCTTTGAGGAGACACACCTCAGGGAGCTCTCAACCACATCCCAACCTGGTGGATCTTCGAGCAGGGTCCAAGAGAAGCACTTCATGTCAGTAAATGAGGAGCTCCACTCCTGCAGATATGAGATGCAACCTTCATAGAAGGTGTGGACGCTTTGCTTAAACACCTCCACTTGAGGGCGCTCTTGGGTAGCCAGAATGCTCTTCACCTGAAAAAAACACCAATAATAATTCAAGAAGCATTAATATAAGAGCCTTGTTTTTACATTACTTTTAATTTGAATATGTTTAAACTCACCTTTAATCCCATGAAGAGGGCGGCCTTCCTCTCCAAAAGTTTCTCCTGTAGATCACACAGGTGCTGTGCAGCGTGGACAGCTGTGCTCTTCTCTTTCGCCATCTTTTTGATGGTGTCATTAAACAGTGACAGTTGGTTGTAATGTGTGTAAACCACAACCAGGCCTCACACACTTGGTTTTCTAGGAACTTGATGATTAAATTTGGTGCTTTTTCCTGAGACCTGAAGTAGGACTGAAGTGCTGGATAAAGCTTCAGAACCCTCAACTGCAGGTCCCAGTGAGAGCCAACGGGTTCTGCTGGTCCCAAGGAGAGTGGCATGTTCAACATCAACAAATGAACAGAAGTCTTTCAGCTCCTCAGTTCGGACAGTGTAGATGGGAAAATATCCAAAAACCGTGACAACAAAGTTCTCAATGTCACATTAGCTCAACTTAATGTCACATGTCTGTGTAACCTAATGCTCATTGGTTGATGACAACGCCGTTGACGCAAGACGGCTCCTAAGTCCTGCGTAAAGACGATTCACCAAGTCACTCGTTGTTCAGCATGCCTAAAAGATGGTCAAGACTAACAAAATAGCTACTGGAACGACACAGCTTTCTCAGGAAGGTGCCAAGAAATGAATATGCTGCGTTTTGCGTCTTATGTAAGTGTGAATTCTCCGTTGCTCATGGTGGAAACGCGGACATGCAGAACCATGTTAAAACTAGCAAACATAAGCGGTGGTATCAGGCGGGAAGTTCGGTTAGCATGTTTTTAGTGCTACTGCTGCTGGAGACAAAGACCTTAAACGCGCTGCTCAGGAAGCAACATTTGCCTACCACCTTGTTAAGCACAATCACAACTTTCGTTCAATGGACTGTACTGCTGGACTACTTCGAAAATTTTATGACCAGCATTTTACGTGTGCTCGGACCAAAGCTGAGGCAGTGGTGACAAGTGTAATTGCCCCGCATGCTATGGATTTGCTAAAAGAAGACACTACGGATACTACTCTGGTCTCTGTCGCAGTTGACACATCAAACCACAAGGCAGTGAAGCTTGTTCCTGTTGTTGTGCGCTACTTCAAAATAACCGAGGGGTTCAGAGTGAAGATACTCGACTTTACATCACTATCAGGTGAGACCTCAACCCTGCTGTGTGATGAGGTTTACAGGTGCCTATCTGCATTCGGTTTGGTGGATAAAGTGGTCGGCTTTTGTGCAGACAACACCAATACAAATTTTGGAGGAAAAGCAAGATGAGGACAAAACAATGTTTTTCATAAACTTGATCAGGCCACCCCCAACAGTCTGGTTGGTGTAGGATGTGCAGCGCACATAGTGCACAATGCAGTTCAGTCTGCAGCAGGATGCACCTGGCACCTTCCTGAGAAAGCTGTGTCGTTCCAGTAGCTCTTTTGTTAGTCTTGACCATCTTTTAGGCATGCTGAACAACGAGTGACTTGGTGAATCGTCTTTACGCAGGACTTAGGAGCCGTCTTGCGTCAACGGCGTTGTCATCAACCAATGAGCATTAGGGTACACAGACATGTGACATAAAGTTGAGCTAATGTCACTATGACAACTTTCTGATTGACATACAAACAACCCAGTGACAATTAGTTCTGTGAACTATGAGCAATTAGTTCAAAATCGGGACACTTGGGACCAAGGCTGGGTGAAATCGGGACAACATAATTGGTTTATAAAAATCTTTGGGGACACAGGACAAATGGCTCAAAATCGGGACTGTCCCGGGTAAACTGGGACACCTGGTCACCCTAGTTTATGAGCCATCAAAACATAGTGAAATGGTTCTAAAAAATGACTAATAAATGGCAGAGTGGATCTCTGACTGGAAAAAAAGCAGGGTTCAAAAGGAAATAAGGCACGAAATACCTCTCGTGTATCCTTGCTCAGCTAGCTAAACGGCTAACAAACAGAGGACACACACCTTTGTAGAACATGAACATTGGAACACGTCTTGGCGGCTCCTGATGATGTATCTTCTAGGCAACCGGGGCGAGGCCAAGACATCAAGGCGAGGTTCCTTGGCATTGAGAAACACCCTCTCTCTCCCTCTCACTAAATAGACAGACAGACTTAGGCCAATATGCACGGATGGTTTTCTACATATTATTTATCCTGTGCCATCCAGTGTGCCTTTGTATACAGGATGTATGGTTTTTGTGGCGGTGTCCCAGCAGACATAACTTCAGAAGTAATTTGTCAAAAAATCCACAGAATATCTAGGTTTCAGAATGGAGACCAGACCAGCTTCAGGGGGAGGAGAAATGCCTGGTAGTGGGATACATTCTTCCATTTACAGGAAAAATTGCTTCAGGCTTGCTGATGCTTGGTGAATATGATTGGATGAGGCATGCATGTCCCCTTTTTCTTGTCAGAAGCTGGCAGCTACGAGATGGTGAATTAGCCCCTCTGCAGGCCTACGGTGGTAACAGCAGCTGCAGCTTTGTTCTTGATGGCCTAATTAATAAACGTTGAGTTTTGTAACAGAATAAAATGACAGGTTTTTTTCCCTCCTCTGCACAAGACTAGTCTGCATGAGATATCAAGGTCTCATGCATTCCTTCTAACCTGCTTAGAAGGCATGCACCACTCATGGGCGCTTGGCAAGATGGCGCCCATGAGTGGCTGTGCGTCTGCTAGGCTCCTGATCCGTTTTGGTTATTTGTTGTTTTTTATTGTTTTTTCTCTATCTAGTGCGGAGTCCCTGCTAACATATGATCGAGACTTACTATTGTCGATCAGGTCCACGATGATCAACCTCCAGAACTCCGATACCGGACCCGCTTTCCCACCGCCTCTGGAACCTGGCGTTAACCCAGGTCTCGGCCCTCTGTTACCTGTGGGCCTTCCGCTACCCCGGAGACCATGGAAGAGGAAACGGGGGAAGAGAGCTGGCTTCTTCGTTCAGCTCCGAAAGATCCTGAGAGGCGAAACTCTTCCCGATCGCTGCTCCGCGGCTGTGTTGTGGCGGATCCAACAGAAACTCAACGGAGTTGGGCTGATCTCGCTGCTAAATGGAGCCCGTGATGCAGGATGCTACCTGAAGGTAAAGAACCACCGCGGGCGTAGCCTGGAGTCGCTACGTAGCTTAGCCCACCAGCCGACCGCCATTATGGAGCCCGCGGTACACACATCGCCAGATTTCTCTGCGAAAATGACGTTCATTAACCCGCGCTCCATCGTCAACAAGTCTCACATCCTCAACAATCTGTTCCGGACCAAAAAATTTAACTTTTTGTGGATTTCTGAGTCGTGGCAGCGCAAAAATGACGTCACTCATCTCCGTGAGTTCTGTCCCCAAGACTGCTCTTTCTTCTCTGCTCCACGGACCACAGGCCGCGGTGGAGGAACAGCTGTTATCTTTAAAAAAATACTTTTCGTGCCAAATTATATCCTCAAACTCCTACAGCTCATTTGAGATGATCATGATTAAAATTGGTCGAGCTCTACCAGTTTATGGAATTCTGGTCTATCGCCCACCTGGATCTACTTCATCCTTCCTGTCTGACTTTCAGGACCTCCTATCTTCAACTATTAAACTAGACAGGATAATCATTGTTGGAGATTTCAACATCCATGCTGAGGATCTATCTAACAGCTCCACTAGGGAGTTCCTAAACATGATGAACTCTTTTAACTTCTCTCAACACGTGTCTGGTCCCACTCACAGAGCAGGCCACACCCTGGATCTGGTCTTTTCCTACGGACTTCTAGTTGATAAGCTGCAGATAAATGATGTTGTGTTCAGTGACCATAAGTCAGTTTCTTTTCATATTAACCTAAATTCTTTTACCAGTCTCTGCTAAGCAACGACGTATTATCAACAGTTCTACCATTTTAAATTTCTCCTCCCTCTTTGACTTTGTACCTCCCTCCTCTGATGACGTAGAGCTCCTTACCAACTCATTTAATGATCACTGCCTCAAAATTCTAGATCAGGTCGCCCCTTACAAAACCAGCCGCAGTTCCAGTGCCTCTAGTTCACCCTGGCTGAACAACCAGATTCTTGAACTTAGACGCTCCTATAGAAAAGCGGAACGACGGTGGAAGAGGACAGGTCTGGTTGTTCATCGCGAATATTTTAAAGAACTTCTAGAGTCATACAACAAAGCTGTAGAAAATGCCAGTCTTCTTTCTTCAGCAACCTCATATGTCAAAATAAGAATAATCCTAAGGTTTTGTTTGATACCATCTCCAGCATCGTTTCTTCTCCTCCGCAGCAGGCTCAGCTATCTTCAGCTGATGATTGTAACACCTTTCTCCACTTTTTTGCCAACAAGGTGCTGAATCTGAGATCCAGCATTCCACCAGCACCCCCCCCCCCCCCCCCCCCCAGGAGGGGAGGCTCCTCAGTGCTCCGAGTCTTTCACCTCCTTCTCCCCAATTACACTAAATGACTTAGCCTCAATAATCAGCCAGATGAAGCTCTCATCATGCTCATCAGACATCTTACCTCCCTCTGTCTTAGTCGGGTCCCTTGCCTCCATCAGTCCATCTCTGTTGACTATGATCAACAGCTCACTGAGCCAAGGCTGTGTTCCATCTTACTTTAAAAATGCAGTAGTGACTCCTCTCTTAAAGAAACCCAACCTTGACGCCAGCTCCACCAGTAACTTTAGGCCCATTTCTAAGCTACCTTTCATCAGTAAAGTACTTGAGAAGGTTGTTGAAACCCAACTCAGATCCTGGTTTTCCAAGTCAAAGATCTCTGACCCCTTCCAATCTGGCTTTCTGAAGCAGCACTCAACCGAGACTGCTCTAGTAAAGGTGCATAATGACCTCCTGATGGCTGCTGATGCTGGGAAATGCTTTGTCATGGTCCTGCTTGACCTCAGTGCAGCTTTTGACACTGTAGACCACAACGTTCTACTAAACAGGTTAAAGGCCCTGGCTGGGATTTCAGGTTTTGCTCTAGACTGGCTCTCTTCCTATCTCACTAACAGAACATTCACAGTGAAGTCAGAAACCTTCTCTTCAGACACTGCCTCTGTTACATGCGGGGTTCCACAAGGATCAGTTCTAGGGCCTCTACTATTCACATTCTATATTCTTCCTCTAGCTGGCATCATTCAGTCTTTCCCAGACATCTCCTACCACATCTACGCTGACGATATACAGCTCTATATGTCCTTAATGCCACACCAGTTGGACAGGCTGGCCACCCTTGTACTCTGCCTGACCCAGATCAGTAACAGGCTGTCCAGCAACCTTCTTCTCAACGCCAACAAGACAGAGACCCTGATCACTGCACCCCCGGAACTTCAACCAAAAATCGAGCAGGAAATTGCCTCCTTTTGCCCATCAGCCAAGGCCAACATTAGAAACCTGGGAGTTATTTTTGATCCGGTTTTAAGTTTAGACTCACACGTAAAACCATCTCCCGCTCTTGTTTCTTCCAACTGAGAAACATTTCAAAAGTCTGTAAACTGGTTTCTACTGCAGATCTGGAAAAAATAATCCATGCCTTTGTGTCATCACGCTTAGACTATTGCAGCGCTCTTTTTACTGGTCTCAGCAAAACCTCCCTCTCACGCCTTCAAGCCATCCAAAATGCAGCAGCCAGACTCCTAACCAAATCCAGCAGACAAGCTCACATCACCCCAGTTTTACAGTCCCTCCACTGGCTCCCGGTAGAATTTAGAATACAGTTTAAAGTTTTAGTGATGACCTATAGAGCTCTTAACAACCAGGCTCCAAGCTATTTATCTGAGCTTTTATCCCCACACACCACTTCACGGAACCTCCGATCCACATCTGAAAACCTCCTGGCTGTTCCTCGAACCAGACTAAAAACCAAAGGGGACAGGGCCTTTCAGTCTATTGCCCCCAGACTTTGGAACAGTCTGCCTTCAAATCTCCATCTCTTGAAATCTGTAGAGGTATTCAAAAAACATCTTAAAACTCACCTTTTCATCCAGGCTTTCCCCCGCTAAATATTCTAAAAGATGTCTTTGTTCTTGTTCACACCTTGACTTTGTTTTGACTCCTGATTTTGGTTACTATTTTATCACTGCTATTGTTTTTATGATGTTTTTATTGGTTTGAGGTATTTGCCCTGATTTTACTCATGTTGTACAGCGCTTTGTGATTTATATCTGTGAAAGGTGCTATATAAATAAACTTTACTTAATTACTTACTTATTTT